GGGGGGGGGGGGGGGGTAGTAAGCAGTTTTTAATATTGTTATAGACCGTTGGAGAGTCTGTCTTCAGTTATGAAATTTATCGTTATCGTTCCCGTAAATTTTGGATACGTTTACAGACTTTCATATAAAATATGGAGAAGTCACGTGAAAATGTGGAACCACGGTGTCACTAGGCGCACAAAAAATCGTTGATTCAAATTAAAATTGTTTTATTTAAATCTCTGTTATTCCGTTAAGTTCAAATTTTACAGTGGTAACTTTTCACCGCATTTCGAAACTAGCCCGTCAGTTTCATGGTTGCAACCTTCTATTATATTTGTTCGCTTAGTCTCCCAACAAATATTAGGCTTCACGCAGCCTTGGAACACTTGTTGTGATAACAGTTTGCCGAAGTTGTTTAAGTCGCAGAACAGAAGCTGCAGCCCCATGTCTTCACTGACATGTGAATTTGTATCTGACGGTGAATGTGAAAGTTATCCAATCACCGCGATGAATGTTAATATAGAATTAATATTAATATTGTAAGTCGAGAAACAATACTTTGCATATTTTCCGGTAAGTTTTACAACACCACGGATGATGTACACATACACGGGTACAAGATCATAAAACAGGTGTTCCAAAACTTTATATGCACACAACCATTACATACATCAGCATTGTGTACATATCTTTTTGGGACACTTTGTACCTCAGATAATTAGAACGAGAATTCAGTGACACGAAGCTTCCATTTGTTCATTTTGCACATTTTTCCATATGGCCACTGACGATGCTTTTCTCATCCACGTGTTGTTTACGTCCTCGAATGACAAATGTACGGCGAAGGTGCATAGCCTCAAGGAAAACGAGTTTGGTAGTCGGACGATTGGATGGTGGTCATCTTTTCCTGCGTAGCTTACAACCTTGGTTTGAGTCTGGTTTCATCGTTGATCACAGAAAGGCACTGTAGTATCATTTCCTGAGCAGTTACAACTACATGCAAGTGCTGTAATTTTGGTATAATCACAAATAATTCGTAAGTTATGAGATTTGAATTTCTTGCAACGGTGAAAATGTCAGGATGGTCTTATGGGTTGTGACGTCGCGTGGACTTGTAACAGAGTATCACGGTTTGAGAGAAACACACTGCCTCCATCTTCTGGGCTCACAAGTTATTTAACGGCGCTTTAAGTACTTCCCAGCCTTTCCTGGAGGGACCGAGGAAAACCATGAGAGAGGACCCCCCCCCAGGGCTGCTGAACGTAGACAGTGTGTTTCTTTGAAATTCTGGTATCAATATACGAGTCCACCACACGACCTTGAACCCCACATTATCCTTGTTCGATCGCTCTTAGGTTTCATTACAACAGTTTTGTGTACATTTCTCACTTCTTCATGCGTGTTCATCTCACTCTGTTGATCTAAGAAGGCATCTCAACAGTATAAGGTGAACAGTAAAGCAGGTCTGCATATCATGAAGTGCTGCATCCTCCTGTTACCACACCTTTTATTTCTTCTTCGTTGAAAGTGGAAGACCTTAAAGCGGTTGAAATTGTAGTTCTGCGTATTTAAGTTTGTAGACAAGATACGTGAAGACAGTTCTGAATTGAATATAGCGCATATCCGAATTTAATCTCCTTTTTATCATTTTAGTTACCAGCGTTCCTCCGAAACGTTGGAAACCACATACAAGAATACACGGCTTCAGAACGCACACATATGGCGACCACAGTCGCCATATTCACCGACGTGAGAATCTCGCATCTCGGACTCATAAGGTTTTGTTTTTTGTTCAGCATTGTGTAGTGCACATTGATTGCTGGGCGGTAAAGTTTCTTATAATCAGTGATAACCATGATGGCTACGACCGTGTTTTCTTTATGCACAAACTGTGAGAGCTTAAAGCCACCGAAAAGTGCTAAAATTAAGTTTATTGTGATAGCGTTGTAATCATTTGTGGAAACTTCATACATAAACATCGGTCCTGAGTTGTTAGCTTCAGGTTTTCAGGATACTGTCTGCAGTATACGAGTAAAGTAATTATTTCTATACCCTGCTCCTTTGCCAAACTTGTTCCTTTCAGGGCGTGTTGAAGGTTGACTAGTTTTGTAAGCTGACAGAAGTTACGCAGCCTCGCAGTGGAGCAGAGATGGTCGTAGGCATCGTGTCTCGTGCTTTCTCCTTTCTTTGCAGTTGTGTTTTCAATTTGATGTCGGTTAACGTGCCTGAAGTGAATTTCGATAGTTTTCTACATCACCACTCTTTTGCCCCTCATACACTTAAAAATTACCCCGTGGAGCAGAGTCAATCAGAAACTGTCAGTCATCGCAGTCGGTCAAGAAACTCCCTGTCTTGTATGAAGTCTGAAAAGTCATTGCCATGTCCACAAGAGCTCGCCACTGGACCCTATCCTCATCCAATTGAATCAATAACACGGGATGAACGGGAAATAAGTACGGGGAAGATGAGATGGTATTAAAATGGATGTATAAATAGTTTGTAAGAATGTGGACTGGTTTGAAGTGACTCGGGTTATAATCCAGTGGCTGATTCTTGTGAACACGGTAATGATTCTTAGGATTTCGTAGAAGTATGAGAATTTACTGACTAGATGAGGGACAACCAGCTTCTCAAGGACCTTGCTCATTGCACGAGAAGACAATCTGCTCTGTTCTTGTAACGTAAAAGCAATAGGCCTTCTACCCTTCAAACTGTGGAGATGTGCATCTCCCAGTAGCCATATGTATCCAGAAAGTTCACGAAGGAACGAAACCCGCCCCCCCGCCAGGGTTGAGGGAGTGCGTACATTTGTCTTTCTCTAACTTTTTTCTGATCGGAACTAAAGATTTCTTTAAGCTCCATCATAATTTGTTCTTCGGCGGTTCTCGCTAGGAGACATGAAACTCTTTCTTTGTTTCCTGATGTCATGATATTAAAAATCCCTGACGGCGCACTGCCCCACACTACATTGGACTGCCGTTCTTTCTGAAATAATTTCATACATGATTATAATGATGACACATGGCTTTATGACTCACGATTTGTTATGAACTGAGACTGGCGGCTTCCTATGCTATAACACGTAGGTGAAGGGCAGCGGTATTAGGATTGGATAACAGATTAACTCGGCTGTATTCAGGATTTTATTTTGCAGTTATTTAAGAACAATATTTTCACATAATTTCTCCATCTGCCGTGTTGTTCACGTAAACTTCTGTCTTCATCGCCGAACTTATCAAATGCATTTTTTCCCTAAGACACGTTGTTCGTGTCGTTTCTAATTTGCGGAGTAATTTCAACCTGTAAACAGACATATCTGCCTGTTGCTGTAGCATGCTTATCCGTCATATGATATTTAAACTTATTTTAACTTTGTGCTTGTTTAGAGTACAGAGAGGAAAGAGAACACTTAGAAGACCCAGACGTGAATAGGAGGACAGTATCAGAATGTAGCTCAAAGAAATAGGGTGTGACGGATTGGACTCCAGGGATGGGCTTTTGTGGACACTTTGATGAACCTTCGGATTCCATAAAATTCGGAAAATTTCTTGACCAGTTGAGTGATGTTCAGCTTTTCAAGAATGATTCTGGACTATTCAGTTATTAGAAAGCAGAGGTTTACTTTTTGTGTATTAGATACAATTTATGTATAGTATTCGGTAAGTAGTCTACTTGGTTCATATCACAGCCAAGGCTGTAAATGTTTCTTCACTACATCAGTATTTTCAGAAAAACGTCAGTTCGTTCCTTAAAGTAGGCTACGATCACTTCCTTTCCACGTCTTCTGTTTCTCGTCTGTATTCAATACGTCACTTCATCAGTTAATACAGCATCGGTAAATAATATCAATAAGCTCGCTTATGTGAAAGAGCTGTAGAAAGCTGATTGATAAAAACACACATCGACTTAAATGTGTGGGCCTGTTCGTAATGAGAAGATCGGCTGTAACATGTGCACATGTCATGTCTCCGACTTTTTACAAGCAGTTAGTATGTGTGCTGCGTCTTATGTAAGTTCTGAGACATCTTTTTCTCTGCCGACATCATCATCGTTTTTCTGTTCAGCGATACACTGCACAAACGCCGTGGTTAAAATCTGGATGTAAGAATTGTGTCGTTGTTACAGTCTACTTCAGTGAACTTTGACCCTTTGGGAAAGCACTGCCAAGTTAAATGGTGTCTTTTTTATTGGCTTACAATTGAAGTCATTAGGAGCTATCAGAAGGAAGCCATTATTGAGATACGAATATCTTAAGATTGGGATTCTTGTAGAGAACTAAGCGCTTATTAAGATGGCTGTCTTCCGTGCAGTCTGGTAGAATTTTACCGACGTTTCAGAGGTGTCTGCTGCCTCCATCATCAGGGCGACCGCCTCAACAACCCAGAAGATAGCCATCTTAACATA